CTATAACTCCAAATGTCTTAATCCATTGCAGCATATATGCCGAGCCCATAATCTCATCTAAATATCATCTAAATTAGGTTTGGGTGAGACTTGTGGTATGATTCATCCAGAATCAAAATTTCTTTCCATCTGTGAAAGCAGACAAATTATCTGTTTCCCAAGTATAGTGGTAGGGCAGGTATAAGATAGACATTCCCTTTTTAAGAAGGAGAAATCAGAAAGATCAGATTGACGGGTCCCAATGAAGTACAAAAACCTAGCATGTTAAGTTCCATTACATTTTTAAGGTTCAAGAATCAACTTCTTTGGCTAGACAATTTGAGCAGCATCACCCCTACAACTCCTTGTGGCAGCCACACCCTGACAGCTCTTTGCAGTCACCTTTTTCCTGAGGCACTACTCAGAGGCATCCTGGCCTATTGAAACTGAGGAGAAAACAGCTTTGGCCCCTGGGTCTGTTAGGTCTGGGCCTATGGTGGGAGTGGCAACCCTGATGATCTTTGAATCATGTTCAGCATAATTCTTCCCTTTACTTGAAAGATAAAGCATGTTTGAGCCAAATAACTCTGTTGCCCTTTCCTGTAGAATCCCAGAGTTCCAAAAATTTTATTTTCTATTTCTCCTTTCCTTGGTCCATACTGACAGTGTCACATTTCTATTCCTGAAGTCTGCTGAGATACCTGATTAAAATGATAAGTAATCTCCTCATAGAGTGATTTCCAGCCACATCCTTGGTGTTCTTTCCATAACATGTTTTATCATATTTTGCAATATAGATAGAATTAGAGTTTTCTAAATCTTCAAGTTCTGGTTCCTTTTTCCTTAATGATTCTTTCAGTTTCTCCTTCTCCTCTTGCATTTAACTGTAAGCAACAAGGAGAAGCCAAGCCTTACCTTCAACATTTTCTTTAAAAATCTCTTCAGCTAAAAACCCAATGTCATTGCTCACATTTACTACCTTTCACAAAACACTAGAACAAAATTCAGCCAAATTCTTTGCCACTTTATAACATGGATTACCTTTCCTCTAGTTTCCAAAAGCATGTTCTTCTTTTCTCTGTGAGAACTCATCAGAAACACCTTTAATGTCCATATTTCTATCAACAATCCCTTTGATGCAATATAGGCTTTTTTATTTATTTTATTTTTTTAAGATTTTATTTATTTATTTATTTGAGAGAGAGAATGAGAGAGAGAGAGAGAGCACATGGGGGGAGGGTTAGAGGGAGAAGCAGACTCCCTGCCAAGCAGGGAGCCCGATGCAGGACTCAATCCAGGGACTCCAGGATCATGACCTGAGCCGAAGGCAGTCACTTAACCAACTGAGCCACCCAGGCATCCACAATATAGGCTTTTTTAGCATGCACCCCAAACATGTCCAGCCTCTACTCATCACCCAGTTCCAAAGCTACTTCCACATTTTTAGGTATTAAGGTAACACCCCACTTCAAAGTACCAAAAGCTGCTCAGTCTTCTACAACAAAATATCACAGACTGGGTGACTTATACAGCAGACATTTATTTTCTTACTTATGGAGGCAGTTATGGTCAAAGTGCAGCAAACTAGCTTTCTGGTGAGGGCTCTCTTTCTGACTTGTAATTGGCCACCTTGTTGCTGTGTCTTCACATGGCCTTTCCTCTGTGCATTCAGAGAGACAGCAATCTCTGGTGTCTCTCTTCTTACAAGAGCACCAATCCAATTGGATTAGGGTACCACATTTATTACCTCATTTAACCTTAATTTCCTCTCTAAAGGACCTCAAACTAAATGCACTCACATTGGGGGTTAGGGCTTCAACATGGGAATTTTTGAGAGACACAATACAGTCCATAACCAAACGCCAAATTTTATATGTAGCAAAAATATCTATATCTACCCTAAAATAAAGGAATTTCCTTTTAAAAGAAGGAAATAAAAGAAGAAAACATGAAATTTCAGAAAGAAAGAAAACAAAGAATAAAAATATGATTAAAATACAATACATTTTCCTTCTCCTGTTTAGTTTTCTAAATCAGTTCTGATGGTGAAAGTAGTAATGTAGTGCTAACATGGTTTTCAATGTATGTAGAAGAAATATTTTAGATAATTATAAAAAGTGGAAGGTAAAGGGGCATAAAGGTAGGTAATGTTTCTACTATCATACCAATAAAATGATGACACAATAGAATACAAAATTATGAAATGTAATATCTAGAGCAACCACTAAAAAACTATAGAAAGAGATACATTTAAAAACACTATAGACAGGGCGTCTGGGTGGCTCAGACGGTTAAGCGTCTGCCTTCGGCTCAGGTCATGATCCCAGGATCCTGGGATCGAGTCCCACATCGGGCTCCCGGCTCAGCAGGGAGCCTGCTTCTCCCTCTGACCCTCTCCCCTCTCATGCTGTTTCTCTCTCGCTCTCTAAAAAATAAATAAATAAAATCTTTAAAAAAAAAACACTATAGACAAAATATATTTCTGAAATAAAATTAATTAACCACAGGACAGCAGCTAAAAAAAGACAGAATCAAATAAAAGATCAAATGGTAAACAAAATGAATTGGTACACTTAAGCCCTAATTTATCAATAAGTACACTAAATATAAATGGCTTAAATAATTAGATACTGATTAGCCAAGAGAATTAAAAAATGTGACCCATTTATATGCTATCTACAAGAAACTCACTTCAAATATATAGATATATGTATGTTGAAAGTGCATAGAATGGAAGAAGATATACAGTGGGTTCATTAATCAGGAAAATAGGGTGAAATATTAATATCAGATAAAATAGACTTCAGAGCAAAGAATGTTACTAGGTACGTAGAGGCACATTACATAATGATAAAAGTGTCAATCCACCAAGAAGACATAGTAATCCTAAGTGGGTGTACACCAGACAAAAGAACTGCCAAATATATGAAGCAAATCTGACAGAACCAAAGGAAAAAAATAGATAAATCCAATTATAGTTGGAGACTTTAACATTCCTCTATCATTTGGTAGAACTAGACAGAAAATCAGCAAGGGTATAGAACTCCACAACACCATCAGCAACAAGATCTATTTAACATTTATAGAACACTTATCCCAAAGACAAGTTATATATTCAAGTGCCCATGGAATATATACCACGACACATAGGCCATATCCTGGCATACAAAATAATCCCCAACAAATTTATTTATTTATTTATT